TGAATATCGTCAGGTAAGAAATTATAGTGGTAAAAATATAATTTTAACAATTTTACAGTAGATGTATTTCTGTCTCGTATTTTATTATAATTGTATTATGTTATCCTCTAGTATTTTCTAGTAGTTTTTATTACTCTACTAAAAATATTTGATCTATTTGACCGTAAGAGCGAAGAAGGACGCGGAGTGTCCAAAGTAGATATGAAACTAAATAATAGAAAGTAGTGTTCTCTGTAAAACTGAGTTGTGTGAAAGTGTTCATTTGAATAGGAATATAAATGTGTTATCTTAACCTGTAAACCGATAATGTAGATGATAAAGATTTTGAAACTTACTAACTCACAATTTTCCACATTCCTAGGATTTTAATGCAATAGTGTATAAGACATTAACATTTGATAACCTTCTACTCAATTTAGTGTATGAGTTTGGCAGTCCAATGTAGTTCAGCTGACCAGAGACCAGAATTGGAATCATTGTAATTTTACTCATAGTTCAAACCATTGTATTTTTGTTGGCCAGAGCTCCAATCATTGTATTTGTGATGGCCAGGGCTCGAATCATTGTAGTTCTGTCGACCATAGCTACAATCATTTTAGTTTTGTTGACTAGAACTTGAATCCCTGTAGTTCTGTTGATCAAAGCTTGAATTTCTGTAGTTCTGTTGACCAGAGCTTGAATCATTGCAGTTCTATTGGTCAAAGCTCAGTTGATTGTAGTTCTGCTGACCAGTACTTAAATCACTGTAGTTCTATTGATCAAAGGTTGAATTACTGTAGTTCTGTTGACCAGAGCATGAATCACTGTAGTTCTGTTGACCATACCTTGAATCACTGCAGTTCTGTTGACCAAAGCTTGAATCATTGCAGTTCTATTGATCAAAGCTCAGTTGATTGTAGTTCTGCTGACCAGTACTTAAATCACTCTAGTTCTGTTGACCACAGCTTGAACCCCTGTTGTTCTGTCGCCAGAGCTTGAATCACTGTAGTTCTGTTGACCAGGGCTTGAATCACTGTAGTTCTGTTGACCAGAGCTTGAATCACCGTAGTTCTATTGACCAGAGCTTGAATTACTGTAGTTATGTTGACCAGAGCTTGAATCACTGTAGTTCTATTGACCAGAGCTTGAATCCCTGTAGTTCTATTGACCAGAGCTTGAATCCCTGTAGTTCTATTGACCAGAGCTTGAATCACTGTAGTTCTATTGACCAGAGCTTGAATCACTGTAGTTCTGTTGACCAGAGCTTGAATCACTGTAGTTCTGTTGACCAGAGCTTGAATTACTGTAGTTCTGTTGACCAGAACTTAAATCACTCTAGTTCTGCCGACCAGAACTTGAATCACTCTAGTTCTGTTAACCACAGCTTGAACCCCTGTTGTTCTGTCGCCAGAGCTTGAATCACTGTAGATCTGGGACCAGGGCTTGAATCACTGTAGTTCTGTTCACCAGAGTTTGAATCACTGTAGTTCTATTGACCAGAGCTTGAATCACTGTAGTTCTGTTGACCAGAGCTTGAATCACTGTAGTTCTGTTGACCAGAGCTTGAATCACTGTAGTTCTGTTGACCAGAAGTTGAATCACTGTAGTTCTGTTGACCAGAGCTTGAATCACTGTAGTTCTATTGACCAGAGCTTGAATTACTGTAGTTCTGTTGACCAGGGCTTGAATCACTGTAGTTCTGTTGACCAGAGCTTGAATCACTGTAGTTCTGTTGACTAGAGCTTGAATTACTGTAGTTCTGTTGACCAGAGCTTGAATCACTGTAGTTCTGTTGACCAGAGCTTGAATCACTGTAGTTCTGTTAACCAAGGCTTGAATCACTGTAGTTCTGTTGACCAGAGCTTGAATCCCTGTAGTTCTATTGACCAGAGCTTGAATTACTGTAGTTCTGTTGACCAGAGCTTGAATTACTGTAGTTCTGTTGACCAGAGCTTGAGTCACTGTAGTTCTGTTGACCAGGGCTTGAATCACTGTAGTTCTGTTGACCAGAGCTTGAATTACTGTAGTTCTGTTGACCAGAACTTAAATCACTCTAGTTCTGCCGACCAGAACTTGAATCACTCTAGTTCTGTTAACCAGAGCTTGAATCACTGTAGTTCTGTTGACCAGAGCTTGAATCACTGTAATTCTGTTGACCAGGACTCATATTAGTGTAGTTCTGTTGATCAGAGCTCATATTACTGTAGTTCTGCTGGCTAGAATTTTAATCACTATAGTTCAGTTGACCATAGCTTTGTTAGCTGTAGTTCTGCTGATCAGAGCTAGCATCACGGTAAGTCTGCTATTTTAAGGTTCTGTTCACAGCATTTTCTGGTTCCTTTTTTTCACATTACATTGTGTTAGATAAAATACCCTAAGATTGATTTTTGATTTCGTCCATTCCATTGTCGAACCATCTGTTCGTTCATCTAGTTATCATCAATCATGATCTCTTCTATAGAAATTGCTCCTTCTTCTTCTTCACTAGGTCAAAAGATACCCCATTTTTCTTGGACAAGTAAAAGAGGAATATTCATGAGTTTCCCTACATATAAGTTTTGAAAATCTCATTCATAGAGGGCCTTACATTTTAGAGTCCAGCGAAAGTTGTCAAAAAATGAAGTTGTAAAGGTCAGGTGAAGATGAATTGTGAAGTTTGTAACACCTGTGTAAGTAAAATCCTCGTGTCGGTTATTGTCAATTGGCAAGGATTTGACTCAAACTTTAGTCACTTGCTGTTACTAAAGACGAAAAAAAAACATTATACTTTAAAGACTTGGATTACTGAAATGTGTTTCTTTAAATAAAAATAAAGGTAACATTTGTGATTTCATATAGGTTATCAGTAGCAAGAATTATTACAATTTTAATTGGCCTATATATATAATACAGAGGTTATTGAAAAGCTAAAAGAGTAAGGAAACATTATCCTTGGTAATTTTTAGTTATCTTTAGCGAAACGTTTTATACACTCTTTCCTTTTTTGAATAAACTCGGTGTGATGTGTCATTTAAAACTGTAGTCATTGTACTGATCTCCATTAAATCGCCTCACATTCATCGATCAATTATAACTTTATAAAAACGTGATTCGAGGAATTGTATTAGCTATCGACTTGCACTTAAGGCTTAGTTAGTGAGTATGCAATGCAAGGAAAATACGGCTTTTTTGTTTTGTTTTTTTACGTAACGCCAAGTAACAGGCCATTGTTACATCACTATACACGACTTGTGCTTAAGGCTTAGTTAGTGAGTAAGCATGACAGGGATGATACGGCTTGCTTTGTTACGTAAAAACCACTCGACAGAAGAACTTTCAATGTTTTACTCATGCGTATAGACATTGACACAAGAAGCATGGACTCTAGACCCCAAATAATACATCTGGACTCATGCATAGAGATATTGACAAAAGAAGCATGGACTCTGTGTTGTTGTTGTTGTTGATTTGTTTTTTACATAGTAAGAATCCTTGGTTGACAAAGTGGTACAGTGGTAGTTTGTTTTTGATACGGGAAGAATCCTTGGTTGACAAAGTGGTTGTTTGTTTTTGGCACGGGAATAATCCTAGGTTGATAAAGTGAAACAGTGGTTGTTTATTTTTTGTTTTTGACACGGAAACAATCCTTGGTGGAACAGTGGTTGTTTGTTGTTCGTTTTTTCTTGGCACGGGAACAATCCTTGGTTGACAAAGTGAAACAGTGGTTGTGTGTTTTTTGTTTTTGACACAGGAACAATCCTTGGTTGACAAAGTGGAACAGTGGTTGTTTGTTGTTCGTTTTTTCTTGACACGGGAACAATCCTTGGTTGACAAAGTGAAACAGTGGTTGTGTGTTTTTGTTTTGACACAGGAACAATCCTTGGTTGACAAAGTGGAACAATGGTTGTTTGTTTTTGACACAGGAACAATCCTTGGTTGACAAAGTGGAACAGTGGTTGTTTGTTTTTGACACAGGAACAATCCTTGGTTGACAAAGTGAAAAAGTGGTTGTTTGTTTTTGATACAAGAACAATTCTTGGTTGACAAAGTGGAACAGTGGTTGTTTGTTTTTGACACAGGAACAATCCTTGGTTGACAAAGTGAAACAGTGGTTGTTTGTTCTTGACACAGGAACAATCCTTGGGTGACAAAGTGGAACAGTGGTTGTTTGTTTTTGACACAGGAACAATCCTTGGTTGACAAAGTGGAACAGTGGTTGTTTGTTTTTGACACAGGAACAATCCTTGGTTGACAAAGTGAAACAATGGTTGTTTGTTTTTGACTCGGGAACAATCCTTGGTTGAAAATGTGGTACAGTGGTTATTTAGTTTGTGCGTTTCGTACATAGAAAATATATTTTTAAGACCAGAAAAGGATTTAAAGTGGTGTTTTGGATACATCTGAGAGGAACAATGTAAATAATAGGGTTTGTTCAGCGTTGTTACTAACAAGTTAATCAGATCACACAGTCCACTAATAAATTGTGCACTAGCAGAAATTTAAGAGGGGTGGGGCTTAAGAATGTTTTAAATTCAGTATTAAATCTGGTGTTTAACTGTTACTTTAATGAGTTTAACAGAAAGTGCATACCGCAAGGGATCGGGGACGTTTATAGACTACAACTTCCTGTTAATCAGAGAATAACGTTTCGAACTGCTAACACAGGTCCCTACATTTGTCACACTTAATAAGAGATATGAATAAAATTATTTCAAAACGTCAGTGCAGTCAAAAGGCCAATGCAGCCTGTAACATTTTATTTCTGGACCACGTTCGATAGCAAAATGAAGCGCTTGTACTGTTTGAAATAGCGAGAGACCGGCAGCGAGTGTTATATGACATTATATAAAACAATATCCCGGCAGTAACTTAATTTACTATTTATATTGATGTATTTTACGGAGAACATTCACAGAAATGTGAGTAGTAACTTAATCTTTTTAATCGTTTGATCGTTCTATTTCCCGAAGGGAATTATGCTATTTTTGATATGTATACTGTTTCAGGGTACCGCCAACCATTACGCTGTCTCGCCTTAGAGAGGAGTTTCCGAAGCAACTGGGTCTGAATATAGTGCCCAGTCATTATGTATTTCTTCGACATGTTGGCAGGAACTTCACGCAGGTGGGCTGGAATCGATATTGTAAACCGTTTCCATCCTGATATAAAACGTTATGATAAAAGTGTGTTTTTGGTTTCTAGCTTAATGGTCGAATGTTTTTACATATTTCAATATAAAGATAATTAGATTGAAAACTCAAGCAAGTTTCTATGTAACATATTATTTTTCAAAGCGATGTTATAAAGTATTAATGCCACATGTGAAACGAGAAGATCAATATATCTATATACATATTCCTGTTTCTTAAAACGTTCAGTCGAGTGGCAGGTATTATTTAACAAAGCTTTTGAATGTAACGGGTTTTGGTTTCACTATATGTTAATACAGGTTTTCATGTTTTAATTTAATATACGTAGCTGGCGTATGTATACAAATAAATATTCTTGAGTGACTACTTACTTGTTGAGACTGCGGTTACCTTAAGGAAGCTTGTAATATAAAGACAAACTACTCAGAAATATTTTCTACTGACTGATCAGCTGGTGTGCGTTTGGAGACTCAAACGTTTGACTTACTAATTGGTCAGCTGTTATATATTTGGTGACTATAGTTTGACTTACTAACTGGTCAACTGGTGTACGTTTGGTGACTTAAAAGTTTGATTAACTAACTGTTTAGCTGGTGTTCATTTGGTAACCTTAATGTTTGATTAACTAAC